AAAAAAAAAAAAAAACGGCTGTTATGTGTGAGAACACGCAAAAGAGAGAGAGAGAGAGTGAGGGCAAAAAATGTAAACAAATAGCTCCTTATTAATATTTATTTCAAACCCCCATGGGATATCCGAGAGGGCCCTGCACACAATCAGCAAGGGCCACGTTGCCATGAAGGAGGTAGTAGTCATAGCCATGCTGAAAGTATGGCACACCAAGTATATATGCTGTTGATTCACTTTAAGGTCCGTGTTTCAGCAGTTATGGGACCACTGAGCACACGAGTTTCAGCGCAATAGCAGGCCAACTCACCACGTGCAATTCAGGGCTTCCCTCCACTAAAAATGTGCAAAACTAGAATGAATCTTCTGCTAGAACATGGAACTGTACGCCGCCATATGTTTTGTCTTTTGTGCAAGTGGTGACGAGTGAAGCAAGGCCCTTAGGGCCACTTGTCGTAGGAAAAGGAAACAAAAGTGCTCGAAAGCAGACCTGACTTCAGATCCAGAGCACATATTGCTGGCCTGCTCTTCTTCTATACGAAATTTGCTGAACATCTCTTGAGATGTTGGGACCCTTGCATATGTACTGCTGGGGGCCTCTGCGAAAAGGACTATTCAACAAGGAATACGTGGGCCCTATTTTTTTTTCCGTGGGGAGGTGCGCCATTGGCTACTGTAGCCAGCCTTCTTCAATTTTTTTTTTATATCCTATTTAGTGGGGTGCGTCGCATCACGAGCGCGTGCATGCTTACACGTGCGTTATGCGCCGCACGTGCGGAGCTCGCGTGCACGCGATACGCCGCAGGTATGGGTTGGARTATAGGCGGAGTATAGGGGTGATATAGGGGATATTGGGGGGGTTAATAAGGATGTTGGGGGCGGTTCGGGAGTGTTAGGTTGGTGTACGCGGGTATTGGGGGCCGCTATGGGGGTGTGGGTGGGGTTATTAGGGGTTCTGGATCCCAAAAACAAAAACAAAAAAGTGCGACTGCTAGGTGCCGACCAGCCGATTGGTCGGCGGGTCGGCGGCCGACCAGTCAAGGGCCGCCGGCCGTCGGGGTGTGCAACCCTGGGAGGCAGAGTAAAAGGGAAGGTATGCTCCTGTGCATCTCTTCAGAGCTTCATACTCCTGTCCATTTCATTTCAGATCTTCAGCTTGTACAGCCTTTATCTTCATACTTCCGTTCATTTCACTTCTGAACTTCATATCGTCTATACTCTTAATGATGCTCATTCGTATGTATTTGTTAGTAGTACAAAGGGAGAGACAAGGCAAAAGCAATATAGTTAGTTCAAACTATAACATAACGAAATCACAGCACCAAATGAGACCGACAACGGACTCAAGGCATACTCGTATTTCTGGGTGGGGGACATATCTATGTACCGGCATATGTTCAATCCATAGTAAGCGTTCAATCCATCATAGTTGGAGAAGCCCTTGCATTTATCCGGGCCAAACATGTTGGAAAATCCAGAAAAGCATGTGGTAGTCCGAAGAGTGTGTGTGTGTGCGTGTGTGTACAGTGTGACGCGTGTGATCCTGTGTGTGAACAGAGAGTTGGGTAAGTGACGAACAGAGTTGTACAGGCGCTGATGCGCCATAGCCATCTGAAGCATACTTGCGGCGCACTCGTGCGGTGCGCGATGCGGTGCAGTGCGCCCTGCGGAATGCGCGCGGTGACACTGCGCGCGCACGAGGTGCGCCGTGCGCGCAGCGCATGGAGATGCGCTACTGTGCAAGGCCATGCCTTTTTTCGGCTTGTGTGTGTGTGTGTGTGTGTGTGTGTGTGTGAGAGAGAGAGAGAGAGAGAGAGAGAGAGAGAGAGAGAGAGAGAGAGAGAGAGAGAGAG